AGTGTGACCTCCCCCTCCCACTGGTGCGACCTCCCCCTCCCCCTCCTGCACGACCTCTTGCAACCTTTCATCCCAGCGTGGGACCTGCTCCTAACCCTCCCATGACCTCCTCCTCCCCCATGCACAAATCACTCCTCCCTCTCTTCGGACCTCCTCCTCCCCCTCGCGCGACTTCCTCCTCCCCTTCACAGGACCTCCTCCCTGTCCTTGCGCAACCTGCTTTTCCCCCTCACACATCATCTTCCGACCTCCTCCTCCCCGTCATGCGACGCTCTCCCACCTCTCTTTTGACCTCCTCCAGCTCCTCCTCCTCCTTGCRCGACCTCCTCCTCACCTCTCACATGTCCTCGTCCGACCTCCTCATCCCACTCGCGTGACCTCCTTCCACCTCCCTTCCGACCTCCGCACGACCTCCTGCAACCTCTCGTCCTCCTCGTGCGACCGGCTCGTCTCCCTCACACTACCTCCTCCTCCCCCTTGCACGACCCACTCCCCCTCTTTCGACCTCTTCCTCTCCCTTGTGTGACCTCCTCCTAGGCTCCTCCCCCTCTTCCGACCTCCTGCTCGTCCTTGCGCGACCCGCTCCTCCCCCTCACACATCGTCTTCCAACCTCCTCCTCCCCATCGCGCAAACTCCTCCTACCCCTCGTGCGACCTCCTCCTACCCCTCGCGCGCCCCCCTTCTCTCCCTCTCATGACTTCCTCCCCCTCTTCTGACCTCTCCCTTGCTCGACCTCTTCCTCCCCCTCACACAACGTCCTCCTAATCCTTGTGCGACCTCCTCCCCCTCACGCGTCCTCCACCCACCTCCTCATCCCCCTCGCACAACCTCCTCCTCCTCCTCCCCCTCGCGCGATGTTCTCCTACCCCTCGCACGACCTCCTCCTACCCCTTGCGTGACCTCCTCCTACCCCTCGCGCGCTCCCCTTCTCCCCCTCAGGCGACTTCCTCCCCCTCTTTTGACTTCTTCCTTGCTCGTCCTCTTCCTCCCCTTCAGACAACGTCCTCCTAATCCTTGCGCGACCTCCTCCCCCTCACGCGTCCTCCACCTACATCCTCATCCCCCTCGCACGACCTCCTCCTCCTCCTTGTCGTGATGTCTGCTTCCCCCTCGCATGACCTCTTCCCACCTCTCTTCCGACCTCCTCCTCCTCCTTGTCGCGATGCCCGCTTCCCCCTCGCACAACCTCCTCCTCCTTGTGCGACCTCCTCCCCCTTGCGCAATATCCTCCTCCCCCTGGCAACCTCCTCCCTACATCCTCTCCCCTCCATGAATTCTCGTCGTTTGCCATGCTTATCGTCCTCCTCCTTTTCGTCCCTCTTTCTCCTTTTGTTCCATCCTCCTCCTCTTTCCTCCATTCTCATCGTGCCCTCGCTCCTCCTCTTTTTCGTTGTTCCGCCTCGTCCTCGCTGCTCCTCATGCTTCCTTCTTTTGTTTCGATCGGCCCAAACATGTTTCTCCCTGTTCATCCTCCCTTTTTCTCCCACCCTTCCTGCTCTGAGCGCACACGTGCCACATGCCCCAAATGTCTTTCTCCCTCTTCCTCCTCCCTCCTCCTGCATTGATCCTCCCTCCTCCATCACATCTTTCCATCGCCGCCCTTTTCCATATCGATGCGGCCCCCGCCCGGCACCACGGACTGGCGGGAAACAGAACTGAATGGGGGGGTTGAAAGAAAAACCGTGGCAGCGGGGAATGGAACTTTGTGTCCTCCCGACACTGCAGAGCGGGGCGTGTCGCGTGGAACCACCACACTGAAATTCCCTCACTCCCACCTGCAGTCCCACCACGAAACGCCGCGGCCGATTTACCTTGCCCCAGTCCCGCCCGCCTCCACACCGAATTTCGCTGGCCCAAGGGGGAAGCGCCACGCTGGGCCCTTTGCATTCTTTAAGAGTATAGGGATAGTTAGAAAACCTTCAGTGCTTGTTGCTTATTGGTTGTTTAACCTTATTGCTTATTGATTATATTTACAAAACCTTCTTGCTTATTGTTTATCGCTTATTGTGTATTGCTTATTGCTCATTGCTTATTCAACCTTATTGCTTATCTTGGTTATCCAACCTTATTGCTTGTTGATTCTTATGACATTCAACATGAGGAAACAGTTGTTGCCTTTAGTCCGTGCCGAGAAATAGACAGGAGGTCAAATAATAATAAAGCGTCAATGAGAATATTAATTAGGTGAGCAAATCACGTCACCCTCATTTGGCTCCTTCTTTGTCATTCGATGATGGTGTGATTTGCCAATGCACACTGGATTATATTCTTCCCAGACTTGAGCCCCCCCAGAATAGAAGGGCCAGAGTGGGTGCATGTCTATTAAAAAGGGGGCAAAAGCAAAGAGGAATAGAGAATGTATGGGATGGAAAAATAGGTATGTGTATTAACGAGATTCCCATTGTCCCTATGTACCATCCTTGCAAAACCAAAGCCAAGGGAACGGGCTCGGAAGAATGGGCGGGGAAAGAAGACCCTGTTGAGCTTGACTATGGTTCGACTCTGTGAAATGACTTGAGAGGTGTAGAATAAGTGGGAGCTTTATGGCGCAAGTGAAATACCACTAATAAGTAAAATAAGTAAAATAACGTTAAAACTTAAAAATAGTGGTCCACTATTTTTAACGTTATTTTACTTATTTCGTGAGGTGAAGCCAGGGCTTTGCCCCTGCTTCTTGATCCAAGGTGCAGGCATTAAAAAAAAAAGGAAAAAAAAAAGAGTATGTGATGACAAGGCCCTCTGAGGGAATGGATCAGAGGCTCGGAGCTTGGCGAGCAGTTCTACTCCGCCTTGGCAAAAAGAGGCTTGGAGGTAGTGGTGGTTTAAACCACCAATACACCCAGGCCCAGAGTGTCGGAGGCGCCTTACTGTGCGGTGGTGCAGTTTTTTGCTTTTCTGGCTGGCGCCGTCAGCCATTGTGGTCCGGTAGGCTGAGCCATTTGTAGCATATCAGAAAGTGAAATGCACTGAAAGCCTAGGATCTAGCAATGACGAAAGTGGCAACAACCAGCAGCGTAGGTGCAACATTCACAAGGTGTCAATGTGCACGATGCAAAGAGTGAAACAACGAGAAATCAACAACAACACATTCGTATCATTATCATCATAGG